CTTTGGTCACAATTATGTTCTCCAGCACAACTAAATTTGTTACCTTTATTACTTATCTAAGATTTGGTCGATCCTAGCTCTAACAATTTAATGGTCACTAAATCACTAGGTAATCAAGTTCATGTGATTTATTGGTCACTAAGCTACACTACACTTGAAATAAGGAAAAAAGTTACAAACCTTAACATGCTAGGTAATGATAATCAAACACATGCATAAACCAAATTCATATAATCCATAAAGTAAGAAACTAACTCATAGTTTTAGGTTTAGTCTAACTAAACGAAAACAAGGGTTTTGTAGCCCATAATCACAACTGATAAACACATAAGCATAAGGAAAACTAAGCTAAACATCATTAAACTAAGCAAACCGAATGTGTAGATGCGAATCTTTGCTCCAATCAACTTCCTAGCTTCAAAATCGACCCCAAAGGATTCTTAGAAGGGTTTTTGTCGCAATACTTCTCTAGAAAGTCACATCCAAGTCTCTCAATTCTTTATAATGTTTGGATATATATACTTTCCTAAAATCTGGCCACCACGACGTGGTAAAGGCACTACATCGTGGTCCTCGTGTTTATTCCATATTCCCTAAGCCAGCTTCAAGAATCGTGAAGATTCCATTCACCACGTCGTGGTGGTTGGAAATCCGACTTTTCTCAAAACACGAAAGTCATCCGAAATTGTGTCTAGTTTTCAGATCATTTTGAACCGCCTTAATCATAGTTATGAGTCATGAGATATGGTCAAAATACTGATGAGTGGTCAATCTATCCAGCAACATCCTTCTTGTGTCTTCTTTTTGACTAAACTCACATTTTGTTGCTTCCAACTTCCATATTGCTTCCGAGCATGTATTTTATGCTACATAGCACATATTAAACATAACACGTATATTGTGTTCTATAATAAGCATAAATATAGCATATAGTATTAAGATATGATGTAACATATATATATATATATATATATATATATATATATATATATATATATATATATATATATATATATATATATATAGAGAGAGAGAGAGAGAGAGTCAAGATCAAATAAGAAGGAAATTTTTGGTAGGAAGGTAAGAAGTTTTTTTTCTACATATTTTTTTCGCGAACAAACAAAATGAATCATTAGATGATTCATTTGTAAGATGATTCACAAGAAAAAATTCTCAAAAAAACATCTCGATAATTCATTTATACAATAATTTTGTTGTTATTGACTAAAATTGTCATAAAAATGATTTTTTCCTTAATTTACTTAAAAATGAATCATAAAGATGTTTTTTTGGAAAATTTTTCTTGTGAATCATCTAGTGATTCATTTATTTTGTTCGTCAAAAAAATATGTAGAAAAAAAAACTTGTTACCTTCTTACCAAAAAAAATTTCTTACCGGATCTATATATATATATATATATATATATATATATATATATATATATATATATATATATATATATATATATATATATGCACATATGAACAATGTTACTCTTATGCCTCTGAAATGTAATAAAAGCCACAATTTATATTGCCAATAATCCAGTTTTCTCACGAGCATATCAAACATATAAAACTTGACTTTCATTTTGTTAGAAAGAAGCTTCAAAGTGGTACATGTACTAACCAAGAAACGACTTATTGATGCTCTTATTAAACCCTTACATTGCTCTAATCATGGTGAAGCACTTTCCAATATTGGTTTACAACCATATCGTCATCTTAAGAAGGGGGGGGGGGGGGGGGGTAGCTTCATCATCTCTCTTACACCAACTAGTTTGTTAGCTTAGCTTTCTTTGTACAAATATATTGTTCTTTTGGTGGTTGTTATTCAATTGAATGAAGAAGTTAAAATTGAATTTTCTTCCCCAATTTCTCTCCCCTCTGTTCTTCTATTACAACATGGCTTGGTGCAATGTTTTGTTGTCATGGGTCGGACATGCTTGCCTATTATTACAAGTCCGGACAACATTGTGGTGGTTGTGGTGCACTCAAATTGCTATATTTGTAGTATAGACGAATAATTCAAGATTTGTTGTATAGATGAATAAATCTACATTTGTTGTAAAGGTATAATGATAGAAACATGATTTACATTTTGTCATTTTTTTGTTGAATAAAAAGTTCGACTTATCTCTACAAAATAAAAATATTTTTATCATACCGATGGAAAATAATTCATTTCCTGCTTATAAAAGGTAACTTAGACTTACAATCAATGTTCTAAATAACGTAAGTTGTGACTTGGTGGTAATGTCAAACCTCAAACTTTTCCGAGCCTTAGCGAGCCATGACGTTTGTAAAGCGTGACTTAAGGCGGCAATTTTCTATATAATTACTATTTTTATATGTATTTTCAAATATTATTTATTTTTATACATATATATGAGTTAAAGTAGCGTTTTAGCAAAACTTGGTGGCAGGTGCAAGCCTTGGAGTCGTGGTTCGCCATAGCGAGCTTTTTAGAACCTTGCTTATAATTGTGCACTACAATGAGGCTTTACAAAATGAGAAATCAAATATCGTTCTTCGATTTTTTCCTACTTATTATTCTACTAATTAGATCAAGACACGTATCAAAATAAAGAGAGGAAATCAAGAGAGATGATTAAATATTAATGGTATCCGTATGTGATATGTCATAATCTTATATGGATAGGAGGATAAGTAGAAAAAAAAAAAGATAAGATGATATTTAATTTTTCTTACAAAACAATTGTTGGTTTAGATAATCCCCTTTATAAGACATTCTCCGATGCTAATACGAATGATCCCTGAATATAAGGCATTTCCCATTAAGTATAAGGTAGCGTTTGTTTTTTTTTCTGCAGATCTGCGAGACGTCTTCTGTCTGCACCGCGCAGACCACGCGCAGACATTAGTCTTCGCAGACTGTTTGTTTTTTTGAAGACTGCAGACCTAAAAATGTCTGCGCGCCCTCTTCTTGGCGCAGATGTGGACCAGAATCTTCTAACATCTTCAGACATCTTGTAGCTTAAAAAAACATATATATCTTTATTTTTTTTAAGTTTTTTTTTAATTTATATTTTTTCCAACTTTATTAATGATAAACAATATGAAAAAAAAATTACAAAACTTTAAAAAAAACATTTGACGATACAAACATGATATTTTTAACAAATTTATAAATAAAAATTTATTATAATAATAGTCGTTGAAGTTGTTTATATAAATATGAAAAAAAAATCATAATATATTCTTATATTTTTTTGCCAAAATTTTGTAAAACTTTATTTAATAGAGTATCATCAATTTCTCGAGAAAATATTTATCGTACGTTTTTAATAGATTTATTTGAAAAAATCGAAGTTTATTTCCATCTATTTATGTATCAAATTCTTTGATCACTAATTATAATGTTTAGTTATAACTTTGCAATCAAAATTGTTGGTTTTTATCAAATATGTATATGAATTAATACCATTTTTATTTTTATTTTTTATATAATAATACATAAAAGTTGATCTAGATTCGTTATATATTTATAATAAAGTCGTAAAAATATATAAAAAATTCGCTTTGAAGTTTTAAAAAACCAGTTTATTTAGATTTCAGTTTATTTTAATAGCCCGCAGATGTTAAAAATACAAACAGTCTTCTTTTTTCAGACTGCAGACGTTTGGTCCACCTCTTCTACTGCAGAGGTCTACAGATGTGATCCGTAGACTGCAGACATTTTACCTCAGAAAAAACAAACAGCACCTAAGTATGCCCCGAAAAGCGTCAAACATCTACCATGGTCCTCATTTTTATAAATTGTTTTTTAATTTATATTACGTGTCGTTATTTGTTTTAATTGTGGGTATCAAACCGATGAACTTTTTGATTTTTGAGGATCTACCGAGGCCTAGTAAAGAGCATTGCATGTAAAACCAATCTTACCATCAAAATTCTAAAGAAATACCAAGTAAGATAATATATTCAATATCTTTAATGTTTTAAAGACTGGTTCGAACTGGTTGTTCCGAAAACTAGGAAAGTGAACGATTCAACGGATACTGGTTTTATGATTTCTGGATTGAAATGAACTGGCTGGTGTTTACAAAACATGGTTGAACGGTTAAAACTCATTTGAACCATTTAAATTGAATAAAAACATATGAAAATGAGACATTTTGCATAACAAACTTTGATTCTATTTTTCACATCTATTTATATATATATTTTTTTATCACCGTTTACATCTTTAATTTGTTTTATGATTTCTGGATTGAAATGAACTGGCTGGTGTTTACAAAACATGGTTGAACGGTTAAAACTCATTTGAACCATTTAAATTGAATAAAAACATATGAAAATGAGACATTTTGCATAACAAACTTTGATTCTATTTTTCACATCTATTTATATATATATTTTTTTATCACCGTTTACATCTTTAATTTGATAAAGTTGATGGTCTTTTTCACATTTATATACGTAAGGAATAAAAAATAAAAATTCTAGAAACCGGATCTACTAAGTTCAATCACTAAACTAATTCAACTAAAAAACCGGTTTAAAAACATTTACTATCTTCATACCAGAAGAAAAAAAAATAATAATAAATTTAGTATAGTGTTACTGATATTTCTTAATGGTTCTCGATGGACCAAGAAAAAGTTTGACTTTCTATGTTACCAAAAATCATTGTATTTAACTATTTATTTAACATCATTTAAAATAAAGCTATATGTAAGAATATATTAATATACTTCCATGTATTTGTTTATTTTAATATCATCTTTTCTTTTCTATATATCACAACATTGTACTTTTTAAGGTTTAAATGGTACTTTGAGAAATCTACATCATTATGGGCATACTTTGAAAGATTCTTATTAGCAGTGAAAATTGATTTATATATATGAATAACATTAATTAAGTGAATATTTCGATATACAATGTTGTAGTAGAAATAAATAAAAAAATATAATGCTACAATAAACAAATAAATGAAAGTCCATTATTATTTCGCATATTTTGCAGTTAACCCTTTAAAAAAACAAAACAAGATCATTCACCACCTAAACATTAAAAATAATAATAATGAGTAAAGCATGATGGAGAATACATATGGCTCTTATTCATCACTTTTCAAGTACACTTATTTTCTTATACAATGAATTTACAAATAACGTTTTTCTCTATTTCTTATTTTTATTTTAGGGGTCTCGGTCTTATTTATCTTCACATTCATAAGATAAGACCCTCAAAAAAAAAAAAAAAAAAAAGGACAAAAACAAATCAAACCCAAGCGGTGTGAATACTCACCTTCCTCTGTAGATACCTATATATCTGTGGAGTGTAATTGTATGCATTCGGTTTATCCACTGATTTTATGCAAAATCTTGCTACTGCTAACAGTCCTTTAAGCTCTCTAGAATCGTAATTATTACCAAGATCAGGGTCGATCATGTTATCCATTGATGTTGGAAAACAAGATTCTTCGATCCATTGGATCAAATCAGGACCCGTTTTCTCTGATGACTGACCCGTTATTAGTTCAAGGATCAACAACCCAAGTTGATACATTATGTTTCCGTACACCTGCCCGTTTGTTTCTACAACAAACCATATCATTTTTATAGACATTAATTATTTATAAAATTAAAAAAAAAAAAAAAAGATTATTTTGACATGTTACCCAATAAAAAATATATTTACCATTAGAACTTGAAGTCCTCCATGCCATAACCTGATCACTACCCGAACCAAGGAGCCCAACATCCGATAGCTTTCAGAACAAAAAACAGAAATTGTCATTAATATGGAAGAAGAAAAGTCTTTTATTCAGACAAAAAAAAAGAACGACTTAATAAGGATAAATGAGTATTAACTCCTAAATATCTTTACCTTTGCATCAAAATTCTCGTCTAGCATGATTGTGTTTGAACTGATAGAGACATGGTATACCGGAGGGTCACAAAAGAAATGTAGATATTCCTGCACGATGGTAATTTTAGAGGTAAATGACATATATACCCTTTGTTCAATACGAAAATTGCAATTCCAGGAAGTTCGTGTTAGTTGTAAAATTTGAACATCTCTATAAAGATTCAAGCTTTAAAACTCACCAATGCAGCAGCTACACCAACGGCTATCTTTAATCTGATTCTCCAATTCAAAGGGGTCCTCAATGGATCTACAATTAACCAAATATTAAACAAAAACTAACTTTAATAAACACTGTATTATATATAAATACACAGAGAACAAAAGTTACCATTCAAATGTTCCTTGAGGCTTCCATTTTCTACGTTCTCAAAGATGAGAAACCTGAAACGTGAAGAGAAGTAGAATGTTGTAATTAAAGAAACGAAAGCAAACTGATTGATTTGATAAAGAATTAGAATCAAAGTTGGGTACTTCTTTTGGCCTACAGAAAATCCAGTAAGGGAAACAACATGACGATGATTCAAACGTCCCAAAATTTGGACCTCCCGATAGAAGAAATCATCTTCTTGATCAATCAGATGTATTTCTTTCACCACAGCAGCATGATCGCCTTCAAATCGAGCTTTATAAGAAGTCCCATTGGAAGAAGTCGCAATAACTCTACTGAAATCGTTTGTGGCTCGCTTTATGGTCTTGTAAGAGAAACGCCTCAAGAAAATTACTGGGACTGTAAAAGAGAAGTTAAAGCTTATCGAGAATTAATGGAGGATTCTTTAGACATGTAGTAATATAGAGCTTCTCATTCATCGAAATTTCATGGAATCCTAACGAATTTGAGATGAGTCGCGTGAATTGATTGGCCACAAAATGTCGAACAGTACCAAATCATTCAAGGAGTTAATCAAAACATCGTAACAACACGAATTTAGGATCAGAAAACCCATTCCAATTTTCACGAAGTTTAATTATAACAGCAAGAAACACATCGCAGATCCATCGTTATCCTCTAATTCCTTCTCAAACTATGATGAAAACCATAAGATTCTAAGAAATACCCACAATTTGTAGGCCAATAATTCAGCAAATAAGATCGGGATTCTATCTGTAATTTCTTTTCAAAATCTGACGAAAAATATAAGATTCTAAGTTATGCCCACGATTCGTGGGGCAATAATTCAGCGAATAAGATCACGTTCCACGCAAAAAACGAGTAAGATTGTGCGGGAAAAGAGGAGCAGTACCTGTACGAGATCGGAGAAGGAGTTTTATCTTGAAGAACAAACCGTCGTTCATCTCGAAACTACTGACACCGGAAGAATTGGAATTTGGGATTCCAGAAATCGAATTTTTGAGCTATTGTTTTCTTTAAAATATGCATCAAATCGTTGCAAGTGTTTCTGATCTGTAATTTCGAAGAATCTTCTGAGTAAAGACAGAATCTATAAGTTGGTTAGTGTAGTTATTATGAGAGATAAAATTAGAATTAGTTTTGTACTATCAAGTGTCCCCTAGGAATATCTTTCCCCACCTTCCACTCGACAAGGTTAGAAGGAAGGTATAATTAACAGAGAAGATTATAAATTTAATCACTTTTTAAAATAATTTTTTAAGTTTTAATAAAGTTTAGATCAAATATTAAAAATAATCAATAAAATTTCATGGGGTTAGATTTACCTATGATTTCATTCCTTTCTATAAAAAAATTAATCAAATATTAAAAATAACCATTAAAATTGCAACGGTTAGATTTATGATAATTCTTTTCATCAGGATTTTACGCTTACAAAAATTAGAAGAGAAATTAAATTTCCTCATATTTTGTTCTTATAAATCATTCTACTTAATTAAATGATTATATGTGTCATATTAATATATTAAAATATCATTACATAAATATTAAATGTTACACATGTTACTATTTAATTGAGTAGAAAGATTTATAGAAATAAAAAGTAAAGGATATTTAATTTCTCAAATTAGAATCAGAGGGATCAAAATCAAACAAAAACATATAAACAAGTTCGGTTTATTAATAGAAACTTGATTGACATTAATTTTGTTTATTAACACTTTATAAACATAGGTTATATAGCAATAATGATAGATATGGTTAAAACAAGTACAAATCATAAACAATACTTTTAAAATATAAATATATTATAACAATGTTACTATATATATATATATATATATATATATATATATATATATATATATATATATATATATATATATACTAATTTTAGGTTCCTTTAGGAATAGTAATTTTTTTGGGGTTTAGGTTTTTGCCACAAATGTTTGCTAAATTTGATATTTTTCGTCCTCGCAATAAAAACTTTTATATTTTTAAGTTTTAATTATGTTTTTGTATCTTTAGGTTTTTATACAAATCTTTAGTGACTTTGATATTTTTCGTCATTGCAGTCTAAACTTTTATATTTTGATGTTTTTTCCATAAATTTTTAATGTCTTTGATACTTTTCAACCTTGAAGTCAAAACTTTTGTATTTTGATATAAAAACACACACAAAAAAAAAAGCTTCTTTAGACTTTTGTCACCATATTTTTCTAACTTTGGCAACTTTCAGACTATAGTCACAACATTTTTGTTTTTCTCAGTCAATATTCTTTCTTTTGGTTGTACACTTTTTACATCTAATTTTAGGGGTTGTCGGTTTTCTGCTTTATTGATGGCGATTTACACTTTCAACACATCTTTTAAAGTTTATCGATTTTTAACCTCTATGACATAGTCCAAAAGCAGCGGAGCCGCGTGCCCTTTTCTAGTTCTATACAAAAGAAAAAAAAATTAGTAGAATTAAAAAAATAATTCATAAATCATGCGATAGAAGGACTATATAATATTATTAATAAATTTAACTCGATAAAACAACTCTTACATACATAATACTCTTGTGATTTATTGCATTTTTCTACCTTTAAGAAAGAAAGTGTTTTCAGGTCAATGGATCATTTTCGTATAACCTTTCACATTTTAAATCTATACAAATTATACACGTCTTAAAATTAATTAATAATTAGAAAAAAGAGTTGCCACCGCGTTGCGGGGACCAGTTGGTATTACAAATATTTTTTGTCGATTGTTATAATCATTTATCATCTAATATTACTGAATCATTCATTATTTTTTATTATTTTTTTTTTTTGCAAAACTTTTTATGATTTTGAGGTTATTCCATTGTAAAAATGTTACTTGATTAAGCATTTAAAAAAAATTGTTAAGTGTACATGAATATCGAATTGCCATTTCACAATTAAAAACCTTCTACTTTTGACAACTACCACTTCCTTCATTTTCTCCAAATAAAGAACATCACCTCTAAAGCTTATCTACATCTTTTTAGGTTGATTAGATCCTCAAACCTTGTATTTGGAAAAAGCTCCTTGATATACATTTTATAGGAATAATTAGCTTTTAAGTCTTCTAAGTCAATCATACAAATTTCAAGCACCAATGTTTCCATAAAATACAAAAAAAGGACTAAATAAGAATATATGGTGAAATTTGAAAAAAAATAATTACTTACTATGGGTTGTAAAAGAACTATCTTGAGAGTTGCTCAACTTCCTTTGGCTATGTTGTATTCCAATACAATGTTTGGTAATATGCTCAAATCTGCATATACGCACAAACCCATGAGATAAAAATAATTAATATTATCTTTTTCGTTATTATAATGTCTGAAAAATTCATTAAAGACTAATAATCACAAACCCATGAAACAATTTTTTTTTTTATTTTAGACCGAAAACTCATGTCAAGCATCCTATCAACCTCATCTAACACAAGATAAGGCACTCTCATCAAGTTAGTATTACGGGACTTCAATATATTAATCTATCCTCTAGATGTAGCAATGTTAATCTCAATACCTAACATAAAATAGATAAAAAAAAACGATTCAATTGTTTTTTTTTATACCAAGATAGTTGAAAGGAAAAAAAATGATAAAACACTAATCTCAAACATTTATCCAATTCATTTGAATCCAACCCGATAGATATCGATTATTAATTATATTCTACTATATAATTTCTAGATTTGTAGGATCGTTAACTACAAATTTAGTTAAACATGTTTGATCCCATCTATACCTTAGAATTATCTTGCTTACGTCCATATTATAAATTTTGAAAACCAAACTTCATGTGATGTTTATTTTGTTCAAAATTATTTTAGCATGTGAAAACCTAATTTATCAACCACACATAATAATTGCATAAAAATAAACAACACAAACATGCATAAAACATATATGCATAAACATAACCAACTAATGGCATTTTTGTGATCCAACACAAAAGATTTCAAGTCCATTCCAAAATGAACATTTAAAGGGACCAAAAACCTTCTAGTAATGTTGTTGTAGAAGCTCCCATTTGAGAACACACCAATTTCTTGCAAAAGATTTGAAAACTTCTTAAAGGTAACATTTCAACAACATGCAACACTTTCAGAAGGTGTTACAAAAAATTGTTGCAAAAGGTCAACAACCCTTAAGCAAAAGTCATTAGAAACAACTTTAGGGACACTTTTCAGAAATTGTCACTATCTTGCCAACACAGTTATTAACCTCGAAAATTGCCTTCTTGTCTTTAAAAATGGCTTCAACTTCATTTCTTGTTACATTTTTGTACAAATAAGTCATTTCTAAAAACTAATATGTTACGTATAAAAAATAAACCAAAAAAACTAATCGATTTAATTTATTACATATCATATGAATTAATAAATTATTACAACCATTTTTATAACAAAAACAATAAACACAACACAACAATCACAATGGTCATTCGCTAGTTTATGCACATCATACATATGAACATACACATAAAACAATATATTTTTTCTAAGACAACTTTAAATGACAAACGATGCATGATAACATTTATCTCAAAAATAACAATTATACAATTGTCATAGAAAATATGTATGAAATCATTTTCTTACAAAAACAAGTTATCTATATTTTCCAAAAACTAAGTTTTCCAAAAATCATAAAATCTAACAAAACTTGAAAGGTGGCTTGTAGCACCTGGTTCCCGGTACGTATTTCTTGTAATTAATAATTCTTAATTCATGCATTTTTGCCTTGGACTCGGCGAGTTGAAGGACCAACTCGCCGAGTAGGAGCGGGATGAGACGCGGGGTCTGAGCCTCGGACTCGGCGAGTCGGTTCCCCGACTCGGCGAGTAGGTCCTGTTTGGGCAAAAACCCTAAACCGAGTGTTTGCACCCTATTTAAGCCCTCTGATAGTTAGTTTTGTTTACTTCTTTTTATAGTTTATTTTAGCATATTTCATTCATAATTTAGATAATTTCCATGCATATTTTCCTTTTTGTTATTTTATGACTATTTTGGGTACTCTCGAATCTTGTGAGCATAATTGCAGGTTTTCGGGTCTAGCGGAGCGGGAGTGTTCGGGACGTATAGGAGGCGATGAGATTTGGTAGACAAAAATGATTTTGGGCTTGATGGGTAGTGGAGATGATGCATGGAGTGATCTTGATGATTATTTGAAGGTTTGGAGAGAAATAAACTTTAAATTTGCAAGATGCGGGGGAATATTCAAGCGTGCGTAGATTATTAATCGGGCGAGTTCACGAGTTTTGGAGGATTTGGAGAGGTCAAATTGGGCTTAAAATGAAGAAAAACTTGAAGAAAATGGGCTAGGAGGTGATTGGATTCGATCTGGGCCAAGTGGGCTAAGCTATGGAGGCCCAAAACCTCAAAGATGCTACATCCAGGGACCACCCGCGCAGCAGCATGCGGGTCGCGCAACCTGCTGCAGGGGCAGTTTCGGAAATTCTTCTTTTGAGCTATTTGAGGAAGGTTGGTGCCCATCTTTTGCATACTCTTGGACATCCGATTTTTAGAGATTCTCTCTGGAGTTTTGAAGACTTTTGAAGGCCAAGAACCCTTGAAGAACATCATATTTTTACCTCTTGATTCTTGCTTAATGTTTGGTACAATTTTCTCTAACTTTGTTTCTTTGTGTTTAGCCATGCTTGGCTAAGCTAATCTTGGTTGACTTTTGGTTAATCCTTGGAACTTTTGTTGAATGTTGAAGAATCCATGAACATGTTCTTGAATCTTTATGGGAATGTTTTGTGTTTTAACATCTTATCATTACTTGTATGTTTTAGTTCATGAGTTTAAATGTGTTTGTAGTGATTAGTTGGCTAATTTCTTGATTAAGTAAAGGATCCTCAAATTAGCAAGCAACAAATGATTTTTGTGTTGTTTTTGCTTCACACAATCATAAAAACATTTCCTCCAACATGGTGGTGAAAGCATTTGACCCCTCTTGATTTGGTGACTTTTTGGTTCTTAATGCTAGTTGACTTTCACTAATTACATGCTATTTGGAATTAGTGACTTTGACTAAGGAAATTGTTATGAGCTTCTCTAGCCATTTCAACAATTAAGAAAAGTCTAGGTAATCTCAAGCTCCTTGGATTACTATAGCCAAATTAAGGATTTAAATCAAAGTATTGCACCATTGGATTCTAA